AGAAGAATTGAAATGGAAGCGAAGAAGCTTGAGGTCGTTGTTGGATTCTGTATGAAATTGTGTTGATGGCTTTTTCTAGGAAAACAAACCAGTACGGGAAGAATGGCTGACGAAAGTACCGAAGAGGGGACCTGTCGCTGGTGTTACAGCCCGAGCATTCAAAAGGAGTAAAGACACATCAGTATTTGACTCTTCTTGGGAGGATACACCGAACTCGAAACGAGCTGCGGTTCAGGTGAGGTTGAATTGCGCAGTGGTTTTTCAAATTCAGATTGGTTTTGTGGCGGTCCGAAGCTTAGTTTTGCATTTATGCTTGAAAATTCGTTTTAGGAAAAGCCCGAGTTCAGCAAAGCCGATGAGAAAAAACATGCTGCCAACGTGAGCACATTTGAGGTGGGTGGAAACTTCTAGGTTATGACGTTTAAACATTTAATTATAGAAAAGCCGTGGGGAGTCTCTGCTTGATAAGCACATAAAGGAAAGAGGAGCGGGAACCAAATCGAAGGTACGTAGCTGAGCATTTTCTATAAAGTATTTGAATGTTTTCTATGTTTTTCCTGTTTTACTGCTTTTCATTTTCTACATATTCTATTTTCTCCATTCATAGTTGATTTACCTTTATACTTCGATTATCAGGAGGATTCTGGTGGAAGAGTGCCATTCAATAGAGACACGGACATGGGTTACTCTGGTAAACCCACTTCAGTAGAAGAAGTGAAAAAGAGGGCGGGCCTACTTAGTACCAGATTTGGTTCGAAGGAGTACCTCTAGTAAAGAACGGGTGAGATTCTTGTGTACGACAGCGTTATTTAATACGTTTTTTATTGATCTGTATACTTCATTCATCGCAACCTATGCAGTTGGCTTTTTGTCAACATTGTACAGTGCAGATAGTGAGCCATTTCATTTTGACTTGATGATACTCCCCTTTGTTTGATTTTTTTACTCCATTTGTTTTTATGATGATCATGAATTTTTTTCTTTAAAACATGTTTGTGTAATGTTGAAGCAGGAAGAAAAAAACGCTACAGTCTGAAATTTTTCTCCCAAAGGAGTCAAGGTGTGAATGTTGGGTTTGCATCTGAAAGTTCATTA